TACTTGGTCACCGTTGTGGCCCCCGGCAATGGTCCTACTCATGGGTGTAATTTTCTAAACCATTCTATTATGGCTATTGCTTTGAGTACTATTTGTTTGCATGTACGCTAATTTATGAGAATAGCATGCTTTGTTTAATTTGTACTAAAATCATGCATATATTACCTGTATCATGATTTACATTCGAAATATAATCCTACAAATGCATAATTTATCCAACACGTTCTATATGGTCAGTGACGGCTACGAGGGGTACCAAAGGAAGATTTACATTTCTTAATTGAACATGGTCATTTATACTGTTTGTTTTTCTAGATTTCATAATATGTGCTGTGACCAATTCAACGTCTTTATTCTACCACCTTCCAAATACTGCCTGTCTCAACATAATTGACACTTAGCTATGAATATTTCATAGCTAAAGTATCAACGATTTTGGTACGGAGTAATATATTTATTTAGTTCAAACATATACACCTTATATTGTTAAAATGTAAGAATAATCATAGGATTGTCAAGTACCTGGTCCGTCAGTGAGACTTGATCGCTTGTAGCCCTGAGTTCATTGTCGTGAGCAACATGTATCTCATTAATTTACTTCACTGATTACATTAGCTGTGGTAAGCCTATTCAGCATTTCTGGAAAAATGAGTACACAATTGAACGTTGTTCTTTAGTTAAAAAATAAAAACTGTGAAAAAGAACCAAGTGTACACAACATATAGTTTGGAAAGCATTCGTTCTGTTGGGCAAAAAAGCACAAATTTTGTGTGTTAATCTATACTAATAAGCAAAGAGTCTGCAATAAATGTTAAATCAATTTCATTTGTTGAAATTCCAGTTTTAAAATTGTGCACCCGACAACATTCTAGCCTAGTGAATATAAATTTAGGATGCCATAAAAATGATGTTTTAAAATTAATAAAAACAAAACAGCACAAGAAAGATCTAAAAGAATCTAAAGTGCCTATATCTTTCCATGGATTGAGGCTGTAGATGAACAAGGGTTGTTATTATTTATAAACAAAGACAACCATATATGTTACAATACAAAAAAAAACCTTACTCCATTGGAGTTTCTCCAGCGTACAGGCAATCCAACTCCAATATCAATTAATGACCATCACATAGGCTAGCTGTGATTCTCTCAATGGGACTAACTTTTTGCTAATCCCTTCCTACTAGAATAAGTCAACTCATCTAAATTTGTCTTAAGTTAGTTTAACCAATTTTATACAAAATGTAACATCTATGACAACAAAAAAGTATAATACAAAAATATATTTCATGTTGTATCTAACTATACTAATATTGTATCATATATTAGCCTTTTTCCTATAAAATTCAATCAAAAAATTTAAATGACTTAGAATAACTCCAAAAATTGATTTATTAGTTATTAAGCACGGAAGGGAGTAACATAAGTTAGATTTAATTGGGCCTAGCCCATTTCTATTTAGCAATTAAATCAAAAAAAATCAAGGCCATGATTAATGCTATGTGTAATTAATGTTAGTTATGTATGGGACACGCACAAGAGGATGCCTCCTTAAATAGGTTGCAAATATGTGCACGTGTTGACAAGTTGAGGATGGCAAATGGAACGCTACACGCACATGCGTGCTGAGCCGAGGCAAGGTCTCAACGCGCGCAAGTGTCTTTTTTGTAGTTTGTAACTGATAAGTGGTATTCATTACTAAGTAACCGTTGAGGTTATTATTGACTTTGTTTATTACTAGTAACAGAAGATGACATGATAGCTATTATCAGCCATGCGCCCATGGCTTCGTCTCTCTGGAAAGCTACATAAGACATACGTCCTGTGTCTGCGCACGTACCAGACACATAAACACCACCACGCTGATGTGCCGTTCTCTGTGGCCTAGCCTTTTCTATATGACTGCTTCACGTATGGCACCAGTATTAGGTGGACGTCCGGTTCGAGGACCTCTTCACCTGGGTAAGAACGGCGTCGGCAGCAGAGGATCTCTGGTATGCTGTGATGGCTCAGGCATTGGTGTCCGCGTCAGCATTGGTGTCCGCGTCGGTTGTCTGCCGCGGCAGATGTGATATATCTGATCGGCAGTTCTCCTTTCTCGTCTTTTCCTATTCGCTTCATTATTTTTGTCTTTGCTTCGACATAAGGTGTACAAGAAACATTCTAGCGTTGGAGATCTGGTTAGACCAATGATGATGAAAAAAATTAAGAGGTGACACTGGTTTGTTTTCTGTTGATATCTTGATTTTCTGCATATGTTCAGTGTTCTTACTGTAAATACCTGTATGCAACGAGGCATGTTAATTATCAAATGCTTGCTTCGTTATACCTATCTATCTATACAACAAACAGGACCTTTGCTTGTACCTTAAACTATTTTTTTGTGCCGAGTGCTTGCTTGATTCTATATTTCTATTCCATATGCTCTAATGCCACCAGTGAGTCCTTATGGTATTTTGAACTTGTAACATATCTGAGGCCATTTTTTGTGCCAATGATGTCTACATGGCTCTTGAATGTATTAGGGCACATCACTGCTTTGTGTCCATTATTCACATGACTGAGGCCACTAATGTTTACACTACTGAAATCAGTGGCTTTGCTGAGTGCCAGGGGCACTCGGCAAAGCCCAATTTGCACTCGGCAAAGGCTTTGCCGAGTGCTGCACTCGGCAAAAAACACTCGGCAAAAAATGGGTCGGCAAAGGCGTCTTTGCCGAGTGTCTTTTGTCGGGCATTCGGCAAAGCCTTTGCCGAGTGCCCGACACTCGGCAAAGTTGAAACCAAAAAAAATAGGAATTTTTACCCAAAAAAAAATAGAAATTTTTTTTAATCGGGGGAGGCCCCCACCCATCTCTGGCATTTTTCGCGTAAAATTCGCGGTTTCACGGCCGACGGGATTCGAACCCGCGACCTCCCCCTGCGCACAAACCTCCTCTACCACTACACCACACTGTCACTTGTGTCTGGATTCCGTTTTAATTCCCAATATATTATACTAAACCAAGTGTAAATTGCTTGTTTGAGGCCCTAAACGAATTCAAATAAAAAAGTTGTAAACTACAAAGTTTCATAACTTTTCGAGATCTACACTTTTAGTTTAGGAAGTTTTTCCATCCGAGGTCGTTTACAAAATTTGAATTTCAAAATTTTAAAATTCATACGTAGTTTTGCATGACAAGATGTTTTCAAATCAAAAAGTTGCCAACTACAATGTTTTATAACTTTTCGAGATCTACAGAGTTTATTTTAGTTGTTTTTCCATCCGAGGTCGTTTGAAAAGTTCGAATTTTAAATTTTTAAAATTCAAACACAGTTTTGCATGACAAGATGATTTCAAATCAAAAAGTTGCCAATTACAAAGTTTCATAACTTTTCGAGATCTACAAAGTTTATTTTGGTTGTTTGATCATCTGTTTATCCGACATGGTCGTTCTAACATTATTCACAAATCTTATATATCTCTCTTGTAGTTTCATAAACTACAAGAGAGATATGTTAGATTTGTGAATAAATTTATTTTCACTTTGTCATACGAAGAAAAGATTAAAACAAATATTGTACATCTTGATAAGTTATACAACTTTGTAGTTGAAAACTTTTTCATTTGAATTAATTTACTGCTTTAAAATGTGCATTGAAATTTTCTTTGCCGAGTGTCAAAAAAAACACTCGGCAAAGACGCTCTGTGCCGAGTATAAAAAAAACACTCGGCAAAGAAGTTTTTTTTGTCGAGTGTAAATTGCTTGTTTGAGGCCCTAAACGAATTCAAATAAAAAGTTGTAAACTACAAAGTTTCATAACTTTTCGAGATCTACACTTTTAGTTTAGAAAATTTTTCCATCCGAGGTCGTTTACAAAATTTGAATTTTAAAATTTTGAAATTCAAACGCAGTTTTGCATGACAAGACGTTTTCAAATCAAAAAGTTGCCAACTAGAATGTTTCATAACTTTTCGAGATCTACAAAGTTTATTTTGGTTGTTTGATCATCTATTCATCCGATATGATCGTTCTAACATTGTTCACAAATCTTATATATCTTTCTTGTAGTTTCATAAACTACAGGAGAGATATGTTAGATTTGTGAACAAATTTACTTTCACTTTGTCATATGAAGAAAAGACCAAAACAAATATTGTACATCTTGATAAGTTATACAACTTTGTAGTTGAAAACTTTTTCATTTGAATTGATTTATTGCTTCAAAATGTGCTTTGAAATTTTCTTTGCGGAGTGTAAAAAAACACTCGGCAAAGAAGCTCTTTGCCGAGTGTCAAAAAAAACACTCGGCAAAGAGCTTCTTTGCCGAGTGTCAAAAAAAAACACTCGGCAAAGACGTCTTTGCCGAGTGCCCGAAAAACAACACTCGAAAAACCACTTGGCACTCGGCAAAGAGCCGGTCTCCGGTAGTGTTAGTTGCACATGTTGCTACTGATGCAAATGATGATCACTACCACTCATTCATTGAAATTCTAATTACGAAAACTAAGGCAGTATGTTTGGGTTGTACAGATTTGAGAAGAATCCCTGTTATGTTGTGTTCAAGGCTCGTCACTCGTCTGCCAGGAGTTTGCTAGCTGCGGTCATAGCTGGGAGTTCTTCTACATCCTCGACATCGATGAAAGCCTCACCACCGTTAATATCAACTTCCACTTCGGCATAGTTCAGCAGCAATCGTCCTGTTTCCTAAACCTTAGACTCCGTTGCATCATCAACAAAGCTGAAATCCATCTCATCATCATGAGGGCGAGAAAGGTTGGAGATCGCGGCATCCACAGGTTCAGACGTTGCAAGCGAAGCAAGAGCTAGTCACGACAGCCCTTGCAGTAGGAGACGCATCCCCTCCTCCGCCCAGGTCCTCATCCCCTACCTTGGCTCCTCAGCCCCCTCCAGAATCGGACCTCCACCTCTGACATCTAGAGCGAGCACAACACCGTCCTCCATATCTTCACTCCCAACAGCCTTCACATATTTCCAAGTATAAAATGCCTTCGCCTTATTTCAAACATCAGTAGGTTGTGGCAAAACCTTCCACTTCAAGGCCTCAGCTTTCGCTGTGATAGTCTTCATAGCCTTGGCCTTCGACGCACCAGCCTTTGGTGCGGATGCCTGCAGGTTACGAGGCGGGACACGCTTCTGATACTCAATGCTCATCTCCTCGAATACTCGATTTAACCAAGGCAGTCGGCCTCGATAGAAATCCTACAAGCCTATTCTTTGTCGGACATCGCGCCATGAATTTCGGTAGCCTAGCCTTCGACACGACCAACAATCTCCTCATTGGTCTCCCCTTCATCCTACATCAGTCCAATGATAAAAGTTGTAGATCTTGAAAACTATAATTTTTCACATTTGAAATTTGAATTTTTCAAATGACCTCCATTTGAGAAACAACAAAAAAGAAAGTTGTAGATCTCGAAAAATTATACAACTTTGTAGTTGACAACTTTTTTATTTAAAATCATCTAGCTGAGGATAATCACGTCTAAATTTCAAATATTTGAAATTCAAAATTTTCAAACGGCCTCAGATGGAACGGAAGTTGTAGACCCTGAAATTCAAAATTTTCAAACGGCCTCAGGGGGGGGGGGCAGCCTCCGCAGCAACCAGAGGTGTCCGAGCGCGGAGGTCCTTGATGGTGGTGTGCTACGATTCGTAGGGGTATAGAGGTCATTTGTCTTGAACGTTGTTACCTGTGCCATCTCCTGAGAAGAGGTGACGACGGCTGTCGAACAAGACAGCCGGCGCACGAGATGGAGATGGGGCTGCTAAGACCATAGAGCCGGCATGCGTATTTTGGGCACGGAATATCCAGACGGAGATAGGCAGAATTTGCATTGCTGGGTTGGGTAAGTCTCCAAGCGGTCTGCAAATGATACCATTGCAGAGGCCGTGAGGGTTATCAGTTGTCTATGGTCGTGCGTGTCGTGAGCATGTCATGCCACATGTATGTATTATTTAGCAGCCGTAATCCTGACTGACCCTGACAAGAGTGCATGGAAATTGAATGGATTCTGTATGGCTGTTCTATTTGTTTGAGGATGCTTTGGTTTTTCGAGGAAAACAGAACGGGCTTCTCCCTACTGGGGTTTATGAAAACACATCAAAAGTATAGAGTTACAAACTCAGGAGACAAAATAGGAAAGGAAAAAAATCAACAAAATTACACAAAGGTCTTGTTATGCACAATCAGTTGAGAGCACAGGGTGACAAATGCCTCTGTCGCGGCCTGTATGCAGTATATTCGTCTCTGTTCTCTAGCGTGGTTCGTTGAACGAACTGACAAAGGCTCAAAAGCTGCTGCTTCAACGCATTGCTTGTCCGAGCACTGAGCATCAAAATGCATATATATTCACACTACGCTCTTGGTGTACCATTTTGTTGCTGCAGTACAGCAATCCATTGATCGGACAACATGTACCCGCTTGCCAGCCTTCTTCAGTCCATTGGTTCGAAGGTGCAGCTACCCTTGCGGCTTCACTGCAGTGCAGGCACGCTCGACGCAACCAGAAAATCAAGTGATCATAGGCGTGCCACCTGCAGGGGGGATAGCGGAAAATCAAGTGATCATAGACGCAACCAGAAAATCAAGTGATCATATGTTATACTACTCCAAGAAGAAATTAATGAAATAGTAGGAGATATTGTCAGGATGGAGGCAAGCAGTTATCTTGTGCAGCCAAATTTACCGGAAGCGTAGGCAGAGGGGCAAACGTTTGTCCGCACTTGTGCGTCGTTCTACCAGCCACTCTTCTTCAATCGGACATATTTTATTGTAAAGAAACCACGTCCGGCGGCTGCGCGCTGCACAAGATACAGAGATTGGAATTGAGACGAGGGAACCAAGAAAACAGACCAAGCCAAACACGGTATCTGGAAATAAAAATATATCGGATGAAGCACCTTGAGCAATTGCAGAGCGACTGATATTTGTCTCAAAGCGGAAAGGATCCCTTGTGTAGAGCACATACCACTTCCTTGGACTGCCTTTATCATTTGCATAGGCCTTGACTAGCTGGATGTGGCTGAACTTGTGCCACTCAGGACCAGATTTCCCTGCTGCTATGGCAGTGAGCAGCGATAAGGAACAATCTAGCAGCAAATGCCTTGGGTTAACATCCTGCAGATACTTAGGAACTGTTTCCATGGCATAATCCTCCAGATCGAGTCTATGTAGTGAAGGCATGCCCTCCAATACCTTCATCTCTGGACACATGACGATGACGAGCTTCTGCAGTTTCGGTAGGTTACTGATCCTCTCCAGGTCAGTATTCCTAAACACGTCGAGGTGGACGACAGAAGTGAAGTTCTCCAAATACCTTAGGTTCTTGACATCATATATGTATAATTTCTTCAAAGCCTTTGCGTGGAAGGCAAGGCCAGGAGGCATGTGGCTCAATTTGCACAAACTGAGTCTAAGCCTCTCCAAGATAGGCATCGCTTTGACTTGTTCCTCCCACTCCCATTCCTCCCATTCGACAAATCTACCAAAAGTCAAATCATGTAATCTGGGAAACGCAACCCCTACATGATTGCTTGGTTGTAGGAATTCAAGACCAACACGCTTGATTGCTGGGGCACGAACAATCTGCAGAAGCTCCAGGCAGGGGAGCTGACTCAAGCCACTAGGAAGCTCTGTGCAGCAGGCCAAGTCGTGCATCATTAGAATCCTCATGCTCCTAAGCGGCATAACTGCTGCTGCTGGCATCATCCAACCTGGGAGCCGCTCACCAAAATACCCTTCAATTTCAAGGTTTTCTAAGCCAGGCGGAGGGCAGAGCTCATCAAAAACCTCCTTGATTTGTCTCTTGGCTTTCTCAGAGATCCCTTCTTCCTCTTTTACCAACAGGCCATCATCTCCAAGTCTACTAGTGCAACCCAGTGAGAGATACCTTAGGCGCTTCTTTCCACCAAGTTTGGCCTGTATAGCAGATGAGGAAGAAGCTACATTCTCCAAGAAACTGATATGAAGATTAGTTAGCTGGGAGAGAGGCCCTAGCTCCTCCAAACTACAGTGATCACAGTCCATGTGGGCTGGAAATCCATATAATTTCCTCAAAGAAGTTAGGCCACTAAATTCCCTTGGTGTAACACTTACATTTTTCCGGTCAAGTCTGAGAAACCTCAAGTCTTGTAGGAATCCAATGCTACTAGGAAGATTAGCCAAACTCTGACATCCAGAAAGGCTAATGTACTGCAAGAATTTCAACTTGCCTATGTCTTCTGGTAACTTGGATGTATTACAGTTTTGTATTGACAAATACCTCAAATGTTTCAGCTGATACAAAGATTCGGCTATTGCATCAATATTTACACTGTCCAAATGTAGTGTTCGAAGACTTGAAAGAGAAACAAATGAATCACCTGGCTTAATCTTTATATTACCAAATAAAAATAGTGTTCTCAGTGATGTCTGTGTTTGGAGAGAACACCACTCCAAATCATGTTGTTCTGATCCTTTGCTTTGGAGAGATAATCTAAAAAACTTTTGCGATTTAAGTTTGTCAATACCAATTTTACTGTTGTGAGCTATGAGTGCTTCATCTCCCAACATGTTATGAGCAAATGACCGGACAATATCATGCATGTTGCAAACTGCTTGATCAAGATATGTCTTATCTGGCTCAATAAGGTTCCGCTGTATTAACTGATCATAGTATTCCCTTCCTATTTCTTCTAGGTCACGTAAAGTTCCATGAACAAATCCTTCACTAATCCACATGCCAACAATGTCATGAACAGAAAACAATGTGCCCCTCGGAATGAGGGAACAGTGCAAAAAGCAAGGCTTCAAACAAGGCTGCAGATCTTCATAGCTAAGATATACTGCATAATTTAGCTCTTTAGGCATTTGTGATACTGACCATAGAGAATCATCTAAGACATTTTGCCAGTCGGTTCGTCTTATCCTTTTCTGACGTAGGAGACCTCCCATTACTTTGACCCCAAGAGGTAAACCATCACATTTTTCAACAAGTCTCATTCCAATATCCTTTAGTATTTCAACCTGGGGCTCATCATTTACATATGTAACAACCTGCAAGAATTTTAGGCTAATTAGACAAACAATAATTTATTGTGCAGTGTCGTGATATCCTGTCAATGCAAAACACATCAAGAAAGAAACCTATGCGGTCTCTAGCACATAATTTTTGGTCAGCCTTTTTTATATTATACTTTATGCATGTGCAACTAAGTAAAAAGAAACAAAAAAGGCTCGAATGTTGCTTCGGAGACAATAGCAACAAAGTATTCACTAGCAATGTTCATGATGAATTTCTACTTCTTTGCTCCTATCACCTTTGGAAGTACGGCCTTTCCTAATCTTTAGCAAAATCAGCACTATTATTCAGCTAATACAACATTGTGTGCATTGTAGCTGCCACTGCGTCAATTCTGAACCCACTGGAATGATTCACTACCAATCAATATAAATTCTGTATAATAAGCTACAGTGCTCAAGAAAACATAACTCAATAAATATGGAAAAAATATTCATTACAAGGGGCGCATTAAGGTATGGCCAAGCAAAAAAATTAGAAAGAATTATTTCAATTACAAGTGACAGCATGTAATCTCCCAGTGCATGACTACAAATAAACAGTTGAAAGCAGTAATAGTCTCCTCCCAACAAAGGCGGTTGGATTAGTTTCAAATTTTGTTCCAAAATAATTAATATTCTAAGTGGTACTAGTTCTATTCGTAGTTTCTGGGCCCACTCTTCATTAAATTTCACCCAATAGGCACATCCAGTTTAGTACAAAGAGTTTTGCGTTGGTATATGTGGGTTCTTTGCTATAGCACGCTTCCACCCGGTTCACGTTGAAAAATCAATATTAAAAATGCTGTTGTAGACAATTTCATATGCGATGCCTTCTCACGTATACTTCCAATCATATGATAATTGGTATAGTGGAGAATAATATATTTTTATAGAGTAAATTACACCCATGGCCCCTAAACTACTACGTCTTCTATCATATCACTAAATATAAAATTGCACATTTAGATCCTCAAACTATTTAAGTACCCCGGTTCTGTACGGCTGCGCAGCCACGATGGCTGCTCACATTCGTGCTTGTGCAGCGGTGGCGGCGGCTCGCTTGTGCAGCCGCGGCCATGGCTCACGCTCTCGCGCTCCTCGGCAGCAGTGGCGGCATTGACAGCGAGATGAACTCATGTAGCATTTCTAATGTGGAAGAAGATATTTTTAAAAAAAATAGTCCCTCATGAAATTTGTTAATATTTGTGCAATTTATGTATCTGGGTGATTTTGTATATAACCCCCGCTAATATTTTATTTTCAAGCAAGCGAGTCTTTTCTCTGCACACGAGCCTGAATCCATACCCGTTTGTACGAATGTGATGCCCAAACAAAGTTTAAAGACCGGAATGACATACTTTTTATGTTTGGCGACCAGGATGACACAACTCACAAGTTGGAGGACCAACCATGGAGTTTACTCATCAAAATATTATTTCTAGCCTTAGAATATGTAACACGATGTCATCCACACCCAAACAGACCTAAACTTTTTCCATTCCTCAACATGGCATGCCATGGTGGAACATTATCTGTGTGTTTGGATGCAAGGACAAGCAGGGACCGAACGAGATGGCTCCAGGATGAGTGGTGTTTGTTTGGGAGGCCACAAGGGGCGAGGACATCCCACATGGGAATATTCCGGTGAGATGCGGGTTGCCCAGTCCCCAGATATTTGACGGACGGGGGTCGCCTAAGGTGGGACGAGCCCGCTTGCTGGCGAGGAAGAAAAGGACAGGAGGTGCACGTAGGGGCGGTCGGCCAAGAAGAGGAGCGTCGGGGGGCCACCGTTGCGCAAGCTCAGGGGGGGGGCACTGCCACGCGTGACCTCGAGGGGCCGCCACCATGCGCGAGATATGAGGAGCCTCCGCGCGCGAGCTTGGGAGGCCACCGCCGTGCAACCTCTGAAGAGCCACTGCGTGCGAGCTCAGGGGGGCGCATGAAACAGGAGGCATGGGGCGTGGGCGCCGATCTGACCAGGAGGAGGCGTAGGGCATTGTGCTGTGAGCCCTTTGGGCGACTACGGTTGGGGAAAGGGAGAGAAGGAAGAAAAAGAAAGAATAAAAACTGCCAAATGGGCCCCACATGTCAGTAGTGGATCCCACTTTTTATGTCTAAGACCAAACAGAAAACAGATTGATCCCATCCCTCCCCAACCAGAAAAGAAATAGGGTCGCCGCATCCCACAAACCAGAGACAAGACCATCCCACCCCACCTTATCTCCCAACCAAATGCTATCTATGTCTCATAATATCTCTACCAGTGGATCCTACCCATGGGAACCACACATATATGTTGGCCTTTGGCCCACCGTCTCGATTCCCCCTCCCTCCCTCTCTCTCTCTCTGTTTCTCTCTTCTCGCTCCGATATTGTGCAGCAGCCCAATATGTGTGACATACATACCCTCGCGTTGGACTACTGGTCAATACCGAACCACAAATGGATCAATTGTGGCCTGCCACATAAGGATGTATAGTGTGTTAGGGCTCATTTAGAACTGGATGATAGCACGTGACAAGTCCGGGGATCTTGATGATATTCTAGTATAAGTGTGGGGGCATGAAAGTAGCATTATAAGAGCTTGGGACTTACATTACATCCAAAGACAATTTCGCTAACCTCACAGTGCATGCATTTTGAGAGTCTAGGGACCCAGATGACATCACACAGAATAAGTTCGAAGACCATTTTTTTATTTTACTCTAAAAAGCATAGTGATAAACAGACTTATTATGGTTGCCTTAGTTTGTGAATTAAATTTAGTTGCTAATTCGCCATGTGGTATTGCCTAAGTTACAGCCCATGACAGATCCAATCGAACCTACAGATCTCAAGTTCTTTTAAAAAAGGAGGAAGTGTAATACAATGTCCAAATTTTAATTGCTTTAACAAAAAATTGTGAATACCTGCCCTATGTGGAGTCTGCATGACTGCATATGCAGGATATTACAATACTAACATATGGAAGTATGGCATTTTGTTTCTTTATAATATATTTCAAAGGTCACCACCATAGAACTAGATGTTGAAACAAATAAGAAAAATAGAAGTTGCCAGGACAGGGAATCTAGTTCCCACTACTAAGATAGAAGCAAAACTAAAGTGATGCAGCTAGAAAACAAAATGCATAATTAAAGAAAAGTAATTAATGTATGGATTAACTTGTACCTGCTTCTTGAGCAGCAACCATGCATCTTCAAGCCCAAGTTTGTCAATACGATGGTAGGGCTCCTCAGCCTTCATCTGACGTGCCACTATGTCATGCCTTGTGGTGACCAGCACACGGCTACCTTGAGCTAGCATGGCATTGACAAAGGGAGTTCTAAGCACACCTTCCCATATATTGTAGTCCCAGACATCATCCATTACTAATAAGGTTTTGTGTCCCTTCAAAGCTTCTATTAGAGTCTGTTCCAGTGCCACCTTTGAAATTCCACAAGCATGGTGGTTTCCACCAGCTTCGATAATGACTCTCCTTAGCATTTCAGTATCATTGAAGTCTTGGCTGACACACAACCATATTTTCTTCGTGAACTCATGTTTTATGACTTCACTGTTGAAGATCTTTTGAGCAAGGGTGGTTTTACCAATCCCACCAATTCCCACAATGGCGAAAATGATTATTTTATTGGATTTGTCGTCGTCAGTTGGATACTTCTTTGTTAGCATCTCTACAAGATTTGTTGTGTCCTCTTCGATCTTCTCACCAAACAAACCAGATTCGTCAAGCCACCCTAACGTCTCACGGGTACCAGAAGGATATGATACCACGTTTGTTCCACGGTCCTCATAAGTACCAAGGTTCATGAAGTTGAATGATGCACCACGTGCCTTGATGTCATCTAGCTTCTTGTTAAGGTTCTTGATGCGGCTTCCAATGTCGTGGGCATGTAGGGGATTCCGTAGGCAGAAGAGCAACGGGTTGAAGCATCCGGCATCATGCCTTTGGCCTCGCTTCATGGCCTTGAGCTGGCACAGGTCGAGGATGTCGGTGGCATCATACATAGCATTCCTTAGCTCTATCCCCCATGCTTGGACACTTCGGTCTGTGATGTTCCTCCTATCAGCATCAGCAAGGATGTTCTTCAGATCCCGAAGCTTGATGTCCATGTTATCAATCTCACCGGACACTCCAAGCAACATATGCACCTCATCTGCCGCCATCTGCATCAGCATGTTTTGGATGTAGGACGCCAAAGCATCTAGGACACCGGCCATGATTGAGATCTTCGGTTTTTGCTGTAACAAAATGAGAACAGATATTGATTTCAACATGGTCATTTATACTGTTTGTTTTTCTAGATTTCATAATATGTGCTGTGACCAACGTCTTTATTCTACCACCTTCCAAATACTCCCTGTCTCAAAATAATTGACACTTAGCTATGAATATTTCATAGCTAAAGTATCAACGATTTTGGTACGGAGTAATATATTTATTTAGTTCAAACATATACACCTTATATTGTTAAAATGTAAGAATAATCATAGGATTGTCAAGTACCTGGTCCGTCGGTGAGACTTGATCGCTTGTAGCCCTGAGTTCATTGTCGTGAGCAACATGTATCTCATTTACTTCACTGATTACATTAGCTGTGGTAAGCCTATTCAGCATTTCTGGAAAAATGAGTACACAATTGAACGTTGTTCTTTAGTTAAAAAATAAAAACTGTGAAAAAGAACCAAGTGTACACAACATAGTTTGGAAAGCATTCGTTCTGTTGGGCAAAAAAGCACAAATTTTGTGTGTTAATCTATACTAATAAGCAAAGAGTCTGCAATAAATGTTAAATCAATTTCATTTGTTGAAATTCCAGTTTTTAAATTGTGCACCCGACAACATTCTAGCCCAGTGAATATAAATTTAGGATGCCATAAAAATGATGTTTTAAAATTAATAAAAACAAAACAGCACAAGAAAGATCTAAAAGAATCTAAAGTGCCTATATCTTTCCATGGATTGAGACTGTAGATGAACAAGGGTTGTTATTATTTATAAACAAAGACAACCATATATGTTACAATACAAAAAAAAACCTTACTCCATTGGAGTTTCTCCAGCGTACAGGCAATCCAACTCAAATATCAATTAATGACCATCACATAGGCTAGCTGTGATTCTCTCAATGGGACTAACTTTTTGCTAATCCCTTCCTACTAGAATAAGTCAACTCATCTAAATTTGTCTTAAGTTAGTTTAACCAATTTTATACAAAACGTAACATCTATGACAACAAAAAAGTATAATACAAAAATATATTTCATGTTGTATCTAACTATACTAATATTGTATCATATATTAGCCTTTTTCCTATAAAATTCAATCAAAAATTTTAAATGACTTAGAATAACTCCAAAATTTGATTTATTAGTTATTAAACACGGAAGGGAGTAACATAAGTTAGATTTAATTGGTCCTAGCCCATTTCTATTTAGCAATTAAATCAAAAAAAATCAAGGCCATGATTAATGCTATGTGTAATTAATGTTAGTTATGTATGGGACACGCACAAGAGGATGCCTCCTTAAATAGGTTGCAAATATGTGCACGTGTTGACAAGTTGAGGATGGCAAATGGAATGCTACACGCACATGCGTGCTGAGCCGAGGCAAGGTCTCAACAAGCGCAAGTGTCTTTTTTGCAGTTTGTAACTGATAAGTGGTATTCATTACTAAGTAACCGTTGAGGTTATTATTGACTTTATTTATTACTAGTAACAGAAGATGCCATGATAGCTATTATCAGCCATGCGCCCATGGCTTCGTCTCTCTGGAAAGCTACATAAGACATACGTCCTGTGTCTGCGCACGTACCAGACACATAAACACCACCACGCTGATGCGCCGTTCTCTGTGGCCTAGCCTTTTCTATATGACTGCTTCACATATGGCACCAGTATGCTTTAAATGGGAGAATTAGATTTGTACAACTACGTCAATTATGGTATTGTTAGTTGCCATCACGGCTTTTGTAATAATATTTAGACGCACCAGTATTCAAAACTTGTTTTATTTACGCTAGTGTAAACCAAACCACTTCAAGTGGCATAAATCAAACCAGTTTGGAAAAAAAAAAATGGTATGGCGGTGGCATAAACAGAACAAGGTTTACATAGTGATATTATCTATCTCTATCTATTTATTCTATATCTATATTCTATATTATAAAAAGAACGAGAGAATGGATCATCACCAGAATTTGTATTTTCTCCTAGTGATGTGGGGTTCTCCTATTATTTAGCATTCAACATTTAGTATGAGCTTTTCCCGATCAAACGCCTAGGATTCCCATGTGCTACGACTGGCGGTAGTGTTCTTATTACTACTTAGTGCACTAGGAGAACTCCACCATTTTCTTTTTTTTATCGGGAGAACAACTCCATTTTGGTAGTGGATAAATATTCTGTACGCATTTGATTCCTACCTACCTATTGTTTTTAGCCATTGGATGTCCTATGAAAAAATAGATCTAAGAACTAAGGGTCTATTTGGTTCAGCTGTGAGCTATGTATTGTGAAAAAAGCTATAAACTATTTGGTTGAAACAACTATAAAACCTACACAATCTCTCTATCTCCATTAAACAACCGTAAAACGTCTCTCTATTTCTATCAATTTGGAAAAGCAGAAAGCCAGAAGCAAGATCCAATGTGCTATACAAATTGAACTGCGCGAAAACCACCACTTCTAGAAAAGTAGTTACAAGTTCCACCCGAAGCTGAACCAAGCATAACCTAAAAATCAGTGGACCATACATAACAGGCAGTTCCAAACTGACAGTTGATATAGCCATTTCTAGTTTTACCTATGCTACCATGCACGGTTTTTTTTCACCGCGGTGATTAATTAGGTTTAACCGGCTGCCCGATATCCCATCGATCACAAGGCAGATAAATGATCAACATTCCTATGGTTCGCGGACTGTCACTTTCCTTTTATCCTTCGCGTCCCTCCCTTCCAGTGGTGCCAGGTTGAAGTGGGAGCAATGGAGGTAATGTCTGGTACCTGCTGGTAGATCGGTAGTGGCCACATGTGAAGGATGTCGGGACTCGGGAAGGATGCTTGGGCGCTTGGCCTGGATGGCTGAACGGTGAGCTCGCTGACATTTGACTTGTTTTTCACAGTAAGTACTCCAGTATTCTTTACTTCTACGGTTGTACTATTAATCGTCCGAAGCCAACCATCGAAATTCAGAAGGCACTTACTCTCGAAGGTAAGTGGTTCAAGTTCAATTATCTTCAATAATAGGTGTCTGAAACTACCGCACGGGATAAATGTTTGTTCGCATTCCTCTGATTCTAAATACGAACTGACAATATTTATTGTTCAAGTGGCCTTAGAACTTGCCTTTTTAATTTATAGATTATATTATATATACTCCCTCTGTCCTAAAGGTATTAAAGCATTCAAAATTTGTCCCAAATTATAAGGCATTCTTTTTTTTGGAGAAATTCTAGGTGAATTAACTCCCTCAAAGTCTCTATCACATGTGTACCTAGCATTAGAGTCTACAACCAGGCTCAAAATATAGTAAACGCAAAGTCTCTCTATAATTCAGGGAGGGTTACATGCGTCAATGCATTACCCCATATTTTGTTCTAAACTTTCTAGAATACCTTATATTTCAGGACGAATGGAGTATATTGCTCTGTTTCCTTCCATGCCCAATTCTTCATATAATATAATCATATTACTTTGATCTGAGCCTCGTTAGCATTTTGTATTTTTCTCTTGCTTTGTTTATCCCAATCGGCATTGTTAGAAATATTAAATTCACATATTCTATTTTTTTCTAAATAAATATAGATTGCTGATATCACCCTTCCTGTTGTACTTGTAATTTTAGGAAGTACAGACGATAAGAAAGAGTGAATGGATTACCTTAAATTTCCTAGTTCTTCTAGGTTGTCAAATTCATTGTTCGTTCTCAAGTCCAGTTACTCTCAGGATGGATAACCCATATACAAAGGGTATGTAGTGCTAAGAGTAGCTAATTATAAATTTCATATACCACCTGTAGCACATATTGAAACAGGGGTCCGTGCCGGATGTAAGGCAATTAGCTACTCTTATCAGTTCTTTTCAATCTTCAAATCAATGGAAGTGTGATTCTATTGACTGTATCTTAGATAAATTCTCATATTAGCTATAACACTGCAGACATATCCTACGAAGCAAAGAGAATTTGTTCGGTTGTGTCATCCTGGTCTCTAAACTTGTAAATCACCGATCCATGTCCTCAAACTTGTTAAGTTTATGTTATCTTGGTCCCTAAATGCTGTGAATGGTGTAAACTTGTAAATTCAATATATTTATAGAGCTATCCAAAAATTATAAATCCGATGTTGTCAGACTCCTGGTAACATTTAGGGTGTCAACGATATAAGTACCAATTTTGTGAAGCCAGTCTTTGAAGTCATAAATATGCCAAGCCCAATGTTTGGAGTCTTAATAAAAAACCTATTATCTATGTTTGTTCTTGATGAACCCGTGTTGACAGGCACAGGCCAACGCTGGTGGCCATAAACCGGACTAAGGCCTTGTTTAGTTTTAGGATGTAAAGTTTTGGGATGTCACATCGGGTGTCATATGGAGGTGTCGTATGGGGTGTTCAGATATTAATACAAAAACAAATTACAGAATCCGTCAGTAAACCGCGAGACGAATTTATTAAGCCTAATTAATCCGTCATTAGCACATGTGTTACTGTAGTACTTATTATCAAATCATGGACTAATTAGACTTAAAAGATTCGTCTCGTAAATTAGTCGCAAAATATGCAATTAGTTATTTTTTTATCTATATTTAATACTATATACATGTGTCCAAACATTCGATGTAATAGGGTGTAAAGTTCTGGGAGAGGAACTTAACAAGGCCTCAATTCTGGCCTCAATTCTAGCACTTCTGATGCTGATGTTCCCATCACCTTGACCTCGATCCTAGTCCCCAGCTGCCGCCTTTGTCGATGACGAGCCCAACGCCCCAAGAGGCGTCGTAGGGAAGTTTTGGAGGGAGCCGTTGCCCCCATGGTTTCAATCAAGCGGAGAACGACAACTGCACACAAGCGCACAACCTACCACCTGCACGACGGCTACCCAGGCGGGCTTGGGCAGGCAGGCAACAGAGCCCTTGGCAATCAAGCTACGGCGATGCAGGCGGCAGAAATAGCATAGCGTCTGATCGGTCTAAGGGCCTGTTCGACAGGACTTATTTTAG